AAATCTTTAAAAATTTATATACTTTTAACATTATTATAAAATATAATTATATTTAAATATATTTGAATTTATAATTTTTATATATTATAATAATAATGTCAATTAAACTAATATTCAATCAACTTATATTTGAATATGATATTTTTAATTAATTTAAAAAAACAAACACTTATTTCACTTTATTTTTAATCATATAAGTGACTCTTTAAATTAAAACTTGTAAGTTCTTAGATAATATATGACAAAAAAAATTATATTTATCTACGCACTTAATTTTATATATATATAAGTTATAGTGGCTTGATGATATCCTTCAATCTCATCACTGTTAATTTTAATAGACAGTCGTTAAAAAATCATTTACCTGCATATTTATCACGATTGATTTTTGTTAGTGTATTCATAATGATATTTTACTCTGTAAAAACATAATTGATCTTCACTTTCCAATCAACGGATGGATCTGAACCGCTTGTAAATTATCTGATTCAATCTCCATTTTTTAAAATATAGTCTCCGTGTACGTAATAAGATACCATGAAGTGCCTACAATCAACACAAAGGGTTGGGCGACTCCCAAACTTGTAAATCCAATTACCTTCATTATTTCCCCACCATAATATCACTATTATTTCCCAGCATTGACAACCATAGTTGGGTTTTTGCCATTCTTTCAAGTTTATCGCGCAAAACTCATCAAATGTATATTTTGTAAACATTCAAAAGTCACGGCATAACCACAACAACATTGAGCCTACAAAACGAACACTGAAATATCTATCTATTATTTCACTTATATGATTAAAAATAAAGTGAAATAAGTGTTTGTTTTTTTAAATTAATTAAAAATATCATATTCAAATATAAGTTGATTGAATATTAGTTTAATTGACATTATTATTATAATATATAAAAATTATAAATTCAAATATATTTAAATATAATTATATTTTATAATAATGTTAAAAGTATATAAATTTTTAAAGATTTTAATGTTTTCTCTTTTATCAAATGCATTTGGAATTTGATTCTGACTATTTTACATAAAAACCAACCTTAATTGATTATTCAAATTTTTATTAATTGAAAGGAGGGTCCAAGTCTAGTTATTTTATCGTATAATCTTGACATGGCAATTCTTAAAATTCAAAAATATATATTATCCAAATTATTATCTATAATGGTCGGATATGATAATATTTTTTTCGACAAAATCGGTTGATATAGTATAAAACGAAAAAAAAATGATATGAATGACTAAGATTAACTGTATAAAATCGCAACGAGAGAATCGCAATGCGAAATGAAAATCGCAACGAGTGAATCGCAATGCGAAAATGAAAATCGTAACGCGAAAATTTCGCGTTACGATTTTCATTTTCGCATTGCGATTCACTCGTTGTGATTTTCATTTCGCATTTCGATTCTCTCGTTGCGATAGTCATTTCCGCGTTGCGATAGTCTGTTTTGCATTCAACATAATGCATATTGAAATCAACAAATCAACTATTACATTTCAATCAATTAAACAAGCACAAATATTATGTACACATCAATTAAACAAATCAACATTTACAAATCATCTTTTACAAATTAATTAAACAATCAAAAAATAATAATGAAATCAACTTTTGCACCCATACATCCATTTCACGCAGCTCACTTCAGGATTAACCTGCAGAAACCAAACATTGAATCAACAACACTTTCTACACATCTAAAACCTACAAACAACAAATTCTTTAATTCTAGCTACTTAACCAAACATTTTCAAACCAAAAAGAGTAAATATGTTTAACAACACTTTCTACACATCTAAAACCTACAAACAGTAAATTATCTCATTGCGATTTTCATTTCGCGTTGCAATTCTCTCGTTGCGATTTTTATTTATCTCGTTGCGATAGTCATTTTCATGTTGCAATTTTCATTTTCATGTTGCGATTTTAAGTTTAGAAACTATTCTTCTTCTGCAAATTGAAACTTTAATGTATTGCATTACTTCAACCAAAAGACAAAACAAAGACAAATACTAACTTCATAGGGTTAAAGACTAAACAGTTTAGCAGTATTGACAACAATCGAATGAATTTAATAAGAAATCTAAGTGAAATGGTTAATCTATTATTAAAATTACTAGTAAACTTATCATCAATTTCAATATGAAAAACTTAAAATAATGCAAAAATTTCAAAATAAAAATAATTAAAAAACTAACCCTCGGAGGTTGATTTTCAATTTCTGAATGATTGTGAGGGATTTCTGACAGTGAATGGTTGTGAGGGATTTCGCCGGAGATGGGGACGGAATCTTCGGAGATGGGGACGGATTTCGTCGTAGAGAGTGAGAGATGGAGATGAGACTGAGTTGTGATTTTAGGTTTTAGGTTATGAGTTGCGATTACGGGATATACTGTGGACGGTTCAGTGTTCCAAATAATTAATATTCGTGTTTGGAATTTGAAAATAAAATACGCGTAACGACTCTAATGGCGCTTTAAAAATCGCTTTGCGATTTACGGATACGCGTTGCGATTTTACGTATTGTCGTTGCGATTTACGGATACGCATTACGATTTACGTATTCTCGTTGCGATTTACGGATACGCGTTGCGATTTTACGTATTGTCGTTGTGATTTACGGATACGCGATGCGATTTTACGGATACTCGTTGCGATAGTCAGAATCGCGTTGCGATTTATATGTTCGCGTTGCGATTTTCATATTCGCGTTGCGATTCTGGAAAATCGCAATGCGAATTTGTACTATCGCATTGCGATTCTTCATAATCGCGTTGCGATTCTGGGAGCTGATTTGCGATTCTGGAGATCGCGTTGCGATTTTTATTTCGCATTGCGATTTTTATTTCGCATTGCGATTTTTTTGGTCATTTTGGCAAATCCAAAAAAAGTTGGTTAAAATCGTATATTATAAGGCATTTTTGGTCACTGAGGTTATTTTCTCTTTTTTTAAATGGGTATTGGATTAGGGTTGATAGTTGATTGTCATGATTGTTTTTTGTTACTATTTTGGGTCTGTTGCTGACGATGGCGGCTTGGAAACTCATCGACGACGGCTCATGCAACGGGGAGGCGAATGAAAAAGTTTCACGGGAATTGTCTTGATCGTCGGATATCATTGAGAAATAAATAGGAAGAATCGAACGATTTCCTGCAATTCTTCCCAGTATAGAATGACTAAAGAATCAAGCTACAAGTCTCGATCTATACAAAACGCACGAACTGTATTTTTGCTTTCGGTTTCATTGATAGCAGAAGACCCTTACTCTATAGGGGCGCTAGCGCTTTAATAGAATATCAAGTTTCGGGGCCTGAAAAACGTAATAGGCTGCTACTCTAGGCTCGCTTCGCTTCTTCAAGCTCCGCCCCTTATTGAAAACTAAATCGCTAACGCGTCTTATATTATTTAGTAAAGCAACCTTTCGCGCTAGGCGCTCATGTTTTTTGTTTGGGTGGAAGCTGGCGGCAGGGCTTGCTTAACCGGATACACGGAATTGGGATCTCCTCGCATGCAACTATTTCTATCGGGAAAGCCTCGCTTATTCAAAGGGCTGAATTTTTTAACCCTTTTTGCTCATAAGTAAGTAAGCGTTGGTAGGAGCGGCGGGATGATATTTAGTATATAAAAAAAGAAAAACTAGAAAGAAGAAATGACAAGATAAATTAATTGGATATCGATGGAGGAAATAACGATGTGGAAAATAGGACAGAGATTCTCTACACACCGTAACCAATTGAAAGGGATGTGGCGCAGCTTGGTAGCGTCTTTGTTTTGGATACAAAATGTCACGGGTTCCAATCTTGTCATCCCTACATTCTCCTCTGGGCAGTAACGAAGGTTAAGATCGATTCAAATGACAGGCGCTGGTGACGGATGATCCATCTTCAGTCGGCGACGACTTGGTTCTGGTGTCTTATGGGTATGGCAAAACCCTAATTTGGGTCAACTTGGATTATTGGATCAGATCTGATCCAATGATTATGGCATGAGACGATTGAAGCAAAAGGAGTAAAACCCTAATTGGGTTTGGGCCACACGAGTGGGCTCCTTACTGGGCCTGAATCTCTGTTGTTAGGCTTAGATTTCCATTGGGCTTGGGTGTTGTTTATCTTGGGCCCAGTTTACAATCTGGATTGGGCCAATTTGTAACCGGTAATAATTAAAATAATAATAATTAAAATAATAATAATAATAATAATAAATAAAACACAACTAGAACCTGGACAGAAACAATAGCTACATCGTGTAAAAGTAACCCTGATGGTAAGTGAAAGAACTCGTCTATGTCGATGAGCTCGACCCATTCACATGAATCCCTAGCTCGCAATGCACAATGAGAGAACCTTCCTTCTTGGGTCTTAACCCATGGCCAAATGTGCCTCCAAATGTTGAAACCGGTATTAACAACAATTCGATTACTTTATTGTTATCGTCGAGGCTGTTGTTATAGTAAATGTACCAACGTCGGACCCCGATCTTAGGCATGGTACATGACCCATTCCTTCAGAAATCTCGCTTGGTTACGTGCCATGGTGCAAACACATACTTCATGTGGTTTCCGGATCAGTACCGGGTAATGACCGGAATCTGACAAGAACCCTAGTCGGGCTATGGAAGGTAATATCCTCTGCCCTCGATCCTAACTGAAACCTTAACTGAACCGTTGACTTTTTGTTAATTATTCAAAACACTAAACGGCGTTCTACACCGCACGATCTCTTGAGCAATAGATAAAACCTCTTATCTTACCGATGGTTTCGACCTGCTCAAATCCCAGCCGTACACGCACTCAAATCTTGAAGCATTGGAAACTCTTTCCGGCTATAAATTAATCCCCTTGACAAAAACACCGTCGTGTTATCGTTATCGACCAAAGCTTCGTACGCCAGTGAGTCCCACCGATAGTGGGACCAGATGAGAGGACCTCAATTGACTCCGAACCAACCGTTACAAACAATCCACGTGGATCACTAGGACGACGCACGATCTGCTCACCCAGCTGTTCGGCTTCAACACGATCCGGGAACAGCTTAAGGCAAGGCTAGGATGAGGTGGTACCGTTACTAGCCGAGAGGTAAACGCAGTCGAGTTCCTCTTTAGAAAATAAACGAGCCGACGGAGGGTATGTCAGGAAAAGTATACCTTGATCGGGGAGCAAATCGATTTCACGAATCGAGAGTACCTGAGTAACCGGAAAATCGTCGGAAACGACGGCGTTCACAGTTGAAGCTCTGCGGGAGAAACTCAACACAGGCTGGAACTTTCCTGTTTTAAAAAAAATACATTCAAACAAGATTAACAATAAAAAATAGGGTAAAGTATAGTAATGATCACTGAACATTTCTGAAGCTTGTATTTAGGTCCTCAACATTTAAAACTTGCAATACAGTCCCCCAACATTTATTCCGTTTGCAATATGGTCCCCCAACTTAAACCACAGTTAGAAAATTAAGATAAATTATATAAACGGTCATTGAACTTTTCAGTCACTTGAATTTAGGTCCCCCAACTTTTAAAACTTGCAAAACATCATCAATTTCATTCTAAACCCCAATTTCCAAAGTAATTCAATTTTATTCTAAACCATAAATTCTAAAATACTTCAATTAAATTCTAAAGTACTTCAATTTAAGGTAATATAGGCTTGAAGAAAGAGTTCAAGGCACAGACACAACGAATAAAAATATATTTATATAAATGTATATTTATATTTAGATGTATAAATAAAAAATATATTCTTATATTAATGTATGAATCATTTATATTTTTTGAATATTTTATTTTTAATAAGAAATTAAAATTATTAATTATATTAGAAATACTCAACTTAAGATTATATATATAATCATGAATTATAAATATGAAAAATATAATTATTAATTTTAGTTTAAAAATATATAAATCTTAAATTTATTCTTTTAAAATATTGTATCAACTAATATTTAAAAAATATATTAAATCTATCAAACAATTTATCAAATATAATATTTTTTTATTGTAAAAAATATAATATTTTCCCATCATTTATTGCTTTCAAATTTTTTGCCGAAGTTCAAATCTCATTATTTCCATTTTACATTATATTCTTTTTTTTCTGGCATTGGTCATACTATTAGTATATGTATTATTGTATATCTCTTAACACAAACGATGGTGTTAGCTTAGTGACTCCACCCTGTATCTTTCATTTGCGTGACTCAGGTTTTAGTTTGCCCAAGACCCAAATTTTACTTCTTTGTAACTTAATTTTCTTCTAATTAAGAGGTGACATGTGTCACCAATAACATATCATGATCATGTGTTAACACATGTCAGATCCTGATTAAATGATTAATTTATTAAATTTTATTTAATTTAGGACCAAATTGATAGCATATATAAATAATTAGGTGGTAACACGTGTCACCAATGACACGTGTCATGATCATGTGCTAACACATGTCAGATCCTAATTAAATGATTAATTTATTAAATTTTATTTAATTTAGGACCAAATTGATTATATAAATAATAAAGACTGAATGTATAATAATGCCAATTCTTTTTAACTGCCACATCATCATTTTTATCAATTGATAACGACTAGTGGCTTAGTTGAAACAGTTAAATAATTATGTGGTATGATTGTTAAATTTAAAAGATCGATGACAAAAGTAAAAAGGGCTAGATAGTTAAGTTGTCAACCGAGTAGTTTACACTTTTATTTATACGTCAAAATAACATTTTATAAATTTAAAATTCGAATTATTTTCAACATCTTCTATATCCTAACTACTTTTTTTAATTAAAAAATTTCTTCAACAGCTAACTACTTTTTTTAATTAAAAAATTTCTTCAACAGATAAGAATTATACTATTATATTTATATAAAAAAATATGTATCACATGAAATAAGATAAAATTAAATAATAATTTGACATAATTGAATTTAATTTAAGTATTTTGGAATTTAGGGTTTAGAATAAAATTGAATTACTTTGGAAATTGGGGTTTAGAATGAAATTGATGACTGTTTTGCAAGTTTTAAAAGTTAAGGACCTAAATTCAAGTGACTGAAAAATTCAATGACCATTTATATAATTTATCCTAATTTTCTAACTGTGGTTTAAGTTGGGGACCATATTGCAAACGGAATAAATGTTGGGGACTGTATTACAAGTTTTAAATGTTGGGGACCTAAATGCAAGCTTCAGAAATGTTCAGTGACCATTACTATACTTTACCCTAAAAAATAATAAACACTTAAACTACGGATGAATTAAAAAGATTAAATTACCTCCAAAAAGAAAGCGAAAGGAGTCCGAGAAGCCACTGAAAAGAACGGAGGAGCCGATTAAAGCAGCGAACCAGAAAAATCTGGGAGTAGGAGAAGCCACTGAAAAGAACGGAGGAGGAGACGATGAAAGCAGCGAACCAGAAAAATCTGCGTGGGGAAACGACGTAGTTTCGCCTACAGAACCTCATCGATTTCCGTTGGTTTGGGAACAACAAACAACTTTCTCATTGATCTGAGTCGTTGGCTCGAAGATCGCAGGGTGGGTTTAAATCCATAAAAATAGTATTGGTTGTTTGGATCTTCTTCTCAGTACTCAAGAACCGAAAGGAAAATGAAAAAAGAGAGAACATTTAGGGACGATAAAGAGAGGCTGCTATCAAAATCATCCTCTGATTTTACGACCGTTCGTGTCGGTTTAAATTCGATCGTTACTTTTTTACTCAGTTTTCTCGATGATGATCCTCTGTGTTTCGAGATGCGTCTTTCCATTTTACCTAACCGGCTCACCACCATCAGATTCCGCCACTTCGTCCTCGTCATGGTAAAAATCTACTCAAGTTGTTTATTAAAGTTTTGGCTAAACTATGTATTTAGTCATCCAATAATCACTTTGGTTCTATTTTGGTTATCCAACCTTTTTTTATAAAATTATACTTAACGTTTGATTATGTTTTGATAATCTATTGTTAAAAAATAAACAGAATTATTGACCTGATAATTTTTTTTAATTTTTTTCAATAATGATATGACATTATTTATGATGATACTTCAACATCATTGTTATTTTTTCAAACGGTAAGAATGATATATCAGATCCCTAATAAAGAATGTTGTTAAATTTATCACAATAAATTGCAAGATGTATGTGTTCGAGATATGATAGAATAATGAGAATGATATATCAGATCCCTTAATTATGTGAAACTAAAACTATATGAAAATTTAAACAATTATTAAAAAGAATATGATCATTTGAAATCTTATACATATGTATACATCTTAATTTATTAATATTAAGAAAATAAAAAATTAAACTATATAAATGTGATTATTATTTTAATTGCGTTCGATCTAAGTTATTTAAATTATTTAATTATATGATATATGACAAAAATACATTATTGAATTTCTCAAAATCAAGTTTGAAAATGAAACTAAAAGATTAGTATGGTATATGGAACGACGAAAAGACTTCATCTAAGCCACGTGGTATCATTTGGAAAGCTTAGAATACTGCCTGATGCAGCAGATTTGCTACGTTTCGTGTTCATTTATGCAATCTACCATGATTGGACATGGGCCCACTTTTCTCGAGGTACGACCCATGGTCTCAGAACTTACCACGTAACCCTGAGTTAAGGTTGACACTTTTGAGTCATTAAAAGGACAATTTTACCAAAATTTCACCCTCAACTTATTAATTATCTGTCAGACACACTTTCTCATAATATTATTATTCTAGTACTTTTTCTGACAAAACATGAATAACCATTCGCGCCTTCGTGGGATTCTGTTCGAACTGACGCCATGTAAGGGAAGGTGCAGAACCTCTGACATATACGAAAGACACGAATCATGAAACACGCCTTCCATAAGTCTACATCATCCTTCAAAGCATTTTTAAAAGAGAAAATAACTCAGTGACCAAAAATCTCAGATAATATACGATTTTGACCAATTTTTTTTGGATTTGCGAAAATGACCAACAAAATCGCAATGCGATCTCTAATTCGCATTGCGATCTCCACTATCGCAAATTCGCGTTGCATTTCGCATTGCGATAGTTGAAAATCGCGTTGCGATTTTCCATTTCGCGTTGCGATAGTTGAAAATCGCAACACGATTTTCCATTTCGCGTTGCGATAGTTGAAAATCGCAACGCGATTTTCCATTTCGCGTTGCGATAGTCTACAGTGTCGTTGCGATTTTCCATTTCGCGTTGCGATAGTCTACAGTAAATTAAAAAAAGATTTTGTTTCTTAAGAATTTTCTCTAAAAAGATAGTATCCGCGCGGACGTGTCGAAGACACGTATTACCACGACCACGACCACGACCACGACCCGACCCGAGATGGCGACGGCGGCGGCGCGCGAGAGTTCCCCTTGTTCTCTTTCACTCAACAAGGAAATGGGAAATACAATCTTAAATACACTTCCATATAGTGTTTCCAATACTATGTGGGATTGAGCATTACTCAACACTTCAAAGAAAATATAGCAATTTTTGTAGTATGTTTACTACTTAATACATATCTAAAAATATTAAAACATTTTATCATATTAAAACTATATGTATAAGTTTGAATTGAAATGTAGATATCTACAACTCTTTTAATTCTCTTGATAAAATGATAAAATGTTTTAGATATGGATTAAGTGGGAAACATGCTACAAAAATTGCTATATTTTCTTTGAAGTGTTGAGTAATGCTCAATCCCACATAGTATTGGAAACACTATATGGAAGTGTATTTAAGGCTTGGATTTCCATTTCCTTGTTGAGTGAAAGAGAACAAGGGGGACTCTCGCGCGCCGCCGCCGCCGTCCGTCTCGCCGTGGTCGTGGTCGTCGTCGTGGTCGTGGTCGTGGTCGTGGTCGTGGTCGTGGTAATACGTGTCTTCGACACGTCCGCGCGGATACTATCTTTTTAGAGAAAATTCTTAAGAAACAAAATCTTTTTTTAATTTACTGTAGACTATCGCAACGCGAAATGGAAAATCGCAACGACACTGTAGACTATCGCAACGCGAGATGGAAAATCGCAACGACACTGTACACTACCGCAACGCGAAATGGAAAATCGCAACGACACTGTAGACTATCGCAACGCGAAATGGAAAATAGCAACGACACTGTAGACTATCGCAACGCGATTTTCAACTATCGCAACGCGAATTTGCAATACTGAAAATCGCGTTGCGAATTAGAGATCGCATTGCGATTTTATTGGTCATTTTGGCAAATCCAAAAAAAGTTGGTTAAAATCGTATATTATAAGGCATTTTTGGTCACTGAGGCGATTTTCTCTATTTAAAAAATATACATTAAAAAATTAAAAATATAAAACTGTAGGGACTAATATCATAATTTAATACACATTAATTCCATGAGTTGAAGATCTTAATAGAGTTAGCTTATATAGGCATATTAGAGTGTTTAACTTATGTTTCTTGACAATGTGGGATAAAAGCTAAAATGTGTATTCCTTAACCATTTTATCTTTATATCTAATGAATCTACTTATACACTATTGTTAACTCCTTTGCGATCTCCCCTTTAAAATTGTTGAAACTGATATACCTAATCAATTTTTTGGTTAGTAGAAAGCAACAATCTTGATTATCATAACATGAAAAAATACTTCTAGGTACTTCTTATAGATATGTTAGACTCTTAAGCTCACAAATTTTAGAAGGAAGAACATCTTGTAGCTTATTCCATCTCAAATTACTACATCCAAAACATATAATTAAATAAATTACACGAAAATTATCCATTATCTCATAATATAGATTTAAAACAAAAGAACATACGATATTTTAAGTCGTTTGAGTCGTCTGAATATAATTAATTTTATATTCGATCTTACATGAGTATACTGTTTCCCATTTGATATATATCAGCTTCAAAATTTAATTTAGTATAAAAATTAATAAATATTAACCTAATGTAATTATTTAAATATTAACATATAAAAAATATCTTGTCGGAATGGTCTTTAAACTTTTTGAGGCTATGGCGGGGATCGATCCAACTTAATCTTGGGAAAAGATTGAGTTTTAAAATAAAACAAATAAATATTTTTGGAGTCGCCATCAACCTTTAGTAAGGTAGATCGATACCTAAAAATACATTTTAAAATAATTTTAAGAAAAATAATTTTAAAAGATAAAAAAAGATATGCATTTAATCAAAAATTCATTTTGAAAAAGGGTTCGAGAGTTGATTACGCGTGGGGAAGGATTAGCACCCCCAAGACGCCCGAAATCGGTACCTAATCGATTATACGTCATCTAAATATTGAAATTGGCAAATTTCAATATACATTTGATTTGTGATATTTTTTTAGAAAAATTAAAAGGGATATTATTTTGTACGAACATTCCTCGAAAATACCTTCCTAGTTAGTTAAGGGGGTATTTTTATGGATTCCTCGTACAAAATAATATTGCCCTAAAACTTTTTAAATACAACAAATATATAAAATAAAAATAATAAAAAATATAAAAGAAAATCATTTAAACAATAAAAGGTATTATTTTATTCGAGCAATTAATAGAAGCACACTCATTGTCAGTTAAGGGGCGTTTCCTTAAATTCCTCATATAAAATAATATATGAAAGTATCTCGATTAGCAAGAAATTTATAAACATGTAAGTGAAGCATTAAAATAATAAATATGATTAATTTAGGGATTAAACTATAAAACTAACAAGAGATCAAGGCAACCAATACAAATACTTTATATGTTAGGCACTTCAATCATAAATAAACCAATAACACTTTTCAGAATTAAAAATATTAAATTTAAGGATTAAACTGTAAAACAATCGAAAGTCATGGCCATAAACAAGAATATCAAGCAAGAGAGGTACTGGAAAAGTAATTCAACCACTACCGAATTTCAGGATTAAAATGAAAAATATTAAAATAGTGTACTAAAACTAAAATAAACATAAAAATAACATAACTAGTATAGATGGACTAAAAATAAACGGGGGTAAACTTGGAGTTCATATCATAACAATTAAAACTTACATACAGTGACTAAAATGAACAAATTACAAAGTAAAAGGCTCGCAGAGATGGTATAACCACCACCCAAAAACACTGAACCCCTCTCCAAAACGACGTCGTATGAAGGAGGGTATAAATACCCATAAACCGGCCTAAAACCCCCCATTTTTCACTTTTCTCTTCTCTCTCTAGAAGGAGAGAAGATAATTTCTCTCTGGCTTCTCTATTCCATCCCTCGCTGGGGAGAGGCCGGCGGCCTCTGGCCACCGTTCGCCTGAGCCTTCTATCGCCGTCTACGACGGCCGAAGATCAGAAAAAAACCCCAAAACAACCATTTTCTCACCATAAACCCGAATCTAAACACCCCAAAGCCTAAAAATCCCCAAATCGTCGTAGATCTAAGGTTTTACCTTCGAAAAATACAACCTTTCACCAACGTTTAGAAGGCCCG